AGACCAATGGAACAGAGTAGAGACTCCAGAAATAAACCCCAAAACATACAGCCCACACATCTTTAACAAAGCATACCAGTCAATCCAGTGGGAAAAGAAAAACGTCTCTAGCAAACGGTGCAGGAAAAAGCCGGTATCCACCTGCACAAAGATGAATCTGAACCCCTGTCACCATTAACAAAAATTAACTCAAAATAGATCAAAGATCTAAACTGAAGACCGCAAACTATAAAACTACTGGTGGAAAACACTGGAGAAACTCTGGAAGACACTGGGGTAGGCAAAGACTTCTTAAGCAAGACTCTCAAAGCACAGGAAATAATCCCCCAAATAGACAGGTGGGATTACATCAGATTAAGGAGTTTCTGCACAGCAAAGGACACAGTAGTGTGAATCGACAACCCTCAGACTGGAAGAGAATTTGTGTTAACTATGTCTCAATAAGAGACTGATAATCAGAATACACAGGGAACTAAAGTGGCTTACCTGGAAGAACATGATAAACCTAATTAAAAAGATGGGAGAATGAGCTGAATAAACAACTCTCTAAGACATATGAACAGCCAAAAAAGCATATGAAAAAATGCTCAATATCCCTCATCATTAGGGAGATGTAGATCAAAACCACAATGAGATACCACCTAACCCGTCAGAATGGCAAAGATTAAAAAAACTAAAAATGACAAGTGCTGGCAGGGATGTGGTGAAAGGGGAATTCTCCTACATTGTTGGTGGGAATGTAAATTGGTCCAGCCACTGTGGAGAACAATATGGAGGTTCCTCAAAGATCTTCAAATAGAACTACTACTATATGATCCAGTAATTCCACTCCTGGATATCTACTCAAAGGACAGAATACTCTTGTCAGAAAAGTACCTGCACAACTATATTTATTGCAGCATTATTCACAATTGCTAAGATATGGAATAAACCCAAATGTCCACAAACAAATGAATGGCACATACACTCCATGGAATACTATTCAGCCATAAAAAAATACCTTGGCATTTGACAGAAAGTGAATGAACACGGAAGGTTTATTGCTGAGTGAAGCAAGTCTGGCTATGAAACAGAGACAATATATGCCTCCATTTTAACACATACTGTCTACACTCTATGGTAGAGACTGAAAGACTAGAGGACATAATATAAGCACTGAAAATTGTTATGGACCGTGGGGAGAAAGTGGAAGGAGAGAAGAGGAGAAAAGTGCGGGAAAGGAAATGTGGGGAAAGATGGAGATGTAAGACATTTGTGGGACACACATACGGTTTGTTGCCTCTGTTGATGATGTTGTATATAGTATTCTCAACTCACCTGCTGTGTAGTGTAGATTCTGTTGGGTAAAAATCTCTTTACAAACTAAATGATGTAAAATGATTAAATGTATAAATAATAATATTTTTTAAATGATGGGAAAAAAAGAAAATGAAGTTTCTGCAAGTGGGGTCATATAGAGGCTCTGATCAAGATGAACAAGAGTTGTCCCACTGAGTCTCACTGGTCACTTCTGATTTCTAAATATACAATCAGAATTGACACAGGTTACATTCTTGATTTCAGAAATAGTTAGCTCAGAACTGGTTAGAAGAAGCCTGTTGTTTTGGCCCTTGTGTACCTTCTCCCATTGCCACTCCATAACCCATCAAACCAGCACTGGCATGGCCAGTTATTTGGTACCTCAGTTATGGTGGATATTAGTTTTTAGAAATCCAAAGTATGTAATGTATACTTCATTTACTTGGAAAATCCCTATTAACCTGATTGGTCATAATTTCTATTACTTCCATTTAAGTTTTCTGTTCACATAATGCATTCATTATTTTTTTCTGTTGTGTTATTTTTATGAACTCATCTTTGGTGTAGAGAAGTTACAAAGGGTTAATTTGGAAAAAATATAAAATCCTGAGTCATGACAATAGTAGTTCAGAATGACTGGCAAATAAATGAAATCAACAAAGGTCAGATTAACTGGTAAAAAATTAATCAGAAACTCAAATCAGAGAAAGTGAACTTTGGCCAGATCAATCAATCACAATGAGGACATACAGTTCACAAGAGTCAGGACAGAATGAAACAAAAATTGAGACAAATACATCAAATCAGTTCACAAATACTTCAGCAAAGTATAGGATGAGTAGTCAAAGCCTCAGGAGAATAACTATTGGGTTGTCAGAAAAGTCAAGATGCATTTTCGCATTAAAAAAATACTCACGATGATTCCTATTGAGGCCTCTATCAGCCCAGTTTCACTCAATAAAACAGAAAACTCATTCTCTCTATAGCTGATCTTATTCATTCTTTTATTTATCCATTCAGTTCCATATTATTTCATGTAACCACTTACACTTCAAATAATCAATATGAAACTCACTTCTAATTTCAAGACTTTTTTTTTTTTGTTTGGAGAGGTTTTTGCTATAGGGTGAGTTCACCAGAAAGAGAGAGACAGACAGAAAGTGAGAAATCACCCCTCAGGGGGAATGGCCACGCCTCAATCCCTTCTCCTCAGGATCTTGGGCACGCTCGCACTTGCACCCGGTGTAAGTTTCAGGCACCGGGTCCGGGACTCAAACCCCGATTGACTACATGGGAGTTCAGTGACATGCCATTACTGCCATTATGACACGCAACTGCTGGTCTCTCTCTAAAAACATCTTTGACTGCCAAGATAGAAATAGAATGCAGTTTCCTGTATCCACTGATCTGAAGACGCATGGTTAGTGTGAAAGCAGCTGTTAGTGTTGCCCATTAGCAGTCCTTATGGAGCAGTTATAGGAATACTGCTAAGTCGGAGACCAGCAGTTGGCATAATGGCTATGTTGCTGGACTCCCATGTAGTCAACCACGGTGCTTGTCCCAGACCCGTTGGCTTAGACTTACGCTGGGTGTGCGTGCTCAAGATCCTGAGAAGTGATTGTGGTGTGGTCATTCCAACCCTGGGGGGTGATTTGTGTGTCTCTTTCTGGCGAGCACATGTGCCCTATAGCAAAAACCTCTCTAAAAAAATAAATACTTCTAAGTCATTGTTTTTCTTATGTAAAATAGACACATAATATTCTCTAGGTAATTTTATAAATTGGATATTCTATTTAAAAATTTTAAAAATAACAATTATTATCTAACTTACTGATGAATTTTTTTTTTATGTTAGTAGGGTCAGTCACTGGCATGGTGGGTAAGGCACCTGGATCCCATGTGGCCAATGTGGTTCAAGCCATGAGGTTTATGAGTGCATGCATGCCCAAAATCTCAAAAAGAGAGGATTGTAATGCAGCCATCCCGGTAAGGGGTGTTTTCTTACTTTCTTTTTCTCTCTAGTGAGCACACCCATTCTCTAGCAAACTTCAAAAAATGGTAGTGAAATTATATCACCAACCAGTTTACTTCAAAGGCAATACCAAAATTAGAACCTAGGTTTCCTATAGTTAAGTGTTCTTTTCTATCATGTTGCCCAGCTTTAAAATATATCAAGCTTTATACCCGAGATAAGTAAGATTACTCATTGTAAATTCATAGAAAAAATTTCTAAAACCTGGTATGAATATGAAGGAAGTTAAATTAGTTTTAAACATCCTTTAAGGGTAAAACAACCATCTTCTCCTTTTCAAGCCAATAAATACTGAAGTTTTTTTTTTTTTTTTGGAGGTTTTCACTATAGGGCGCGTGCGCTCGCCAGACAGAGACAGACATAGAGACAGAAAGCGAGAAATCCCCCGCCAGGGGGGATGGCCACGCCGCAATCCCTTCTCCTCCATTCTCCTCTCTGGATCTTGGGCACACACACACACACGCGCCCGGCCTGAGTTTTAAGCCACCGGGTCCGGGACGCGAACTGCAGTCAACTACACGGGAGTCCAGTGACATAGCCATTATGCTAATTGCTGGTCCCATAAATACTAAAGTTTGTGGAAAAATCAGATTAAAGTTTATTTTGGTGCAAAAAAGTTTGAAACCCACAATTAGCTTTTTCAAAATACGCATACTCTTCATACAGATTAAATGTACAACTGTGTATTTTAACTTGACACAGAGTACAACTACATGTATGTCACCACATGGAAACAAAAAGCATAACTTAGAAATATCCCTAATGTAACTAAACTTTCAGTTATAACACAAGAAACAGCAATGCAAAAAATCTTTTCATATTGTATTCTTGTGTGACTATTCCTACATTACAGCTTGTTAGTAATATGAGACACTGACAAAATGTGTAACTATAAGACAAAGATATATATATTTGGGGGGAAAGAGGGTGTGCACACTCTAGAAAAAGAAAAAAAGACAAAGTACCCTCACCCATTGGACAACAGTCACACCAAAATCCCTTTTCCATTTCTTCCCCCTTTAGGAATTTTGGGAACTGCCCAAGGACCCAGTAATTTTGTCAAGCCACTGGGTCTAAGACTAGAACTCAGTGGGCCACACAGGATCCAGCTGTCCTAACGAATCATGCCGCCAGCTCGCCTGAGAACTAAATATTTTAAATATTTTGGGGGAGTGAAAACAGAAAACATCTACAAAGTAGTCAGTTTACATAAGACAAAATAAGAGATCTGAAATCTAAAATGAACGAAACATTTCTGTGATCAGAGCAGACCCAAAAAATGTTACCAAATGCGTAAATATCTAATCAAAATACTAACATAATTCTAACATGTACCATCAGTTCTTAAACTTTTTTTTGAGAGAGATTTTTGCTGTAGGGTGTATGCGCTTGTCAGAGACCAAAAGCAAATCACCCATAAGCAAGAAATGGCCACATCACAATCCCTTTTCCTCTGTTCTCCCTTCAGGATCTTGGACATCCATACACATGTCCCTAAAGTCACCAAGTCTGGGACTCAAATCATGGTTTACTACAGCTGGAGTCCAGTGACGTAACCATTATGCCATCTGCTGGCCCTTGGTACAATGTATAAATGTCATGTAATGTATATGTATATGTGTATGTATATGTAATGTATAAAAAACCACCAGAAAAGAAATACAATGGATAAGTGTCAATCTTTACCAATTTATTTTATACAAAACAGTAGCAATGTAGAATATGGGAATTATCTTCTGCTGCCACACACGCAACTTGTGAACATTCCAAGCCAATGTATACAGTTTGGAGAGGAAGGCTAAACGATAGCATCAACCATGCTACTGAACATAGGAATTTTTTATTTAAAAAGATTAAAAATTAGATAGCAATGTCTTCTTAATATTGCTCTCATCATTGAAGACTGAAAAATAATAAAATAAAATAAAAAAGGACTTTGTAAGTTTAAAAAAATGAAGGAAAGGAAGAAACCAAGAGGCTGCTACAACACTGCCATATAGTCAAACCATCATACTTCAATATTTGCATACTTGATAGCAGCATTATTTTTACTGAACCGTGTGCAACTACATGTAGAAACACAACAAAGCAAAATATATGGCAGTTATTGACCAAGATCCAAAAGAAAGTAAACAAACAAAAAATAACTACAGGATGAACATACTATAAGATGAACATCTATGGAGAATGAATCAATATCTACATTCTTGGACTGTTCCATTCTGTTCCAATAAAAGTGTCTACTGTCAACTGTGCATTTTTGGCGAATTTGTGTTTTTCCAGTTCTTATTATACTGCATGCTTGGAACAAAGGGATCATAATAAATCCTTCTACACAATGAACTTTTAAGTAGACAGCTGAAAATAAATTTACTACTTGTAAACACACACAAAAAAAATACAAGATTTTTTTATCTTTAAACAATCAGTGCTTCCAAAAGCGCATTATCTTCGATATCGACCTCTCTCCCCTCGGTCTCTGTCCCGATCACATAATCGCTCTCTTTCTCTTTCTCTATCACGTCCTCTATCTCGTTCTCTATCTCTTCTGTTATCTCTAGGGCGGTCTCGCTCTCGTTCCCGATCTCTTTCACGAGGTCTACTTCTCCGGCCACTGACAACAGCTTGTGTGCGACGAAGGAAATCATCAACCCTCATGTCATAATCATGCTAGACAAGGGAAGAAATTGGTTAATGTCAAAAATTCAATGCAAGTTTTAAGTTTCTACATTTTAACTGGTAGAAAGGAAGAATCTAGAGAAATATAATAATGAATTCATGTAATTTTGACATTATTTAGAAAAAGGATTTTAATGTCTCACTAGATATCTACAACATTAATCAAATCTCTTCTATTCAATTTTAAAGACTTTCCCATCTGATGCCTTTAATAAGATTTATGCCAAAAAATAATCACCTAATTATGACCATCACCATTATGCACACTTGCTGCCAATTATGCTAAGTGTCACCAATGTTATTTTGTGACAAGCTAATCCTACTTTCCTTTCCTCCTTCAAGTCTATTAACATGAAGAACACTGCCCTCTTAAGGTGAAATTAGGAAATATTGTTTGGATTTTCTTTCAAACTAAACTGGTAATAATTTATCGAATTTGATAGAATTTAAATATGTACTTCAGTAATACTATATGTCTGTTCAACACAAAGCTAACAACCCACTAAACACTGAAGGGGACAACACACTAAATGGGTAGCTGTAAAAGTGATATACAAGGAAAAGTTGTAGAAAACTTTTAAGTTTGGCCCCTGCTCTTCGTTAAGCTTTCTATTCTTAGTTCTCAACTCTCCTTTACTTACTGAGTTTTGTCTTTTTTCAAGACTCAGTTTAAATATACAGAACATAAAGTACGAAAATACAATTCCACACTACCTTTCATATATAATAAATATATGAATCTTATGTAAGCATGGATTATTTGTACTATCTAAAACACTACTTGTAAAGGTCTATGAATTAGAACTTGTTAAAAAAGGAAAAGTATACTTGTTTAACAAAATATAAGACAGACTTCTTGTTTTAAAAAAATCATTGATCATTTATACAATGCTTTTTTAAGACACCACAAAATGCACACAATTACAATTTCCACAGACATATGTTGTATTTTTATTTCTTATGTGACTGAGAAAAAAACCACCAATTTAGATTCTTACTAATTAGTCAGGATTCTCAAAACTTTTTAATGTAGTAAGACTTGATTTTGAAGGACTACTATCTACTTTTCTCCTGCCTTTTTTATTGCCAGAGAGTGGAATGCACTTTCAGAGAGAGAAAGTGAAAAAGAACCCTATATGAAGAATAGTCACATCACAAACCCTTCTCTTCCACTTCTTCAACTCTTTTAGGATTTTAGACATGCATGCTCACACACTTGGCATGTTTTGTAAGCCACTGAGTCTGGAACTCAAACCATTTAATTGGCCACATGGGATCCAGCCATCTTAACTACCACATGATGGCCTAGAATTATCTTTATGAGAACAAGAAAACAAATGCCAACGCATAAAAATGTCTCTTGGGGGACCAGCAGTTAGCGTAATGGCTATGTCACTGGACTCCCATGTAGTGGACCGTGGTTCGAGTTCCAGACCTGGCAGCTTAAACTCACACTGGGTGTGTGTGTGCGTGTCCAAGATCCTGAGAGGAGAATGGAGGAGAAGGGATTGCAGCGTGGCCATCCCCCTGGGGGGTGATTTCTCGCTTTCTATCTTTCTGGCAAGCGCATGTGCCCTATAGCAAAAACCTCTGCAAAAAAAAAAAAGTCTCTCAGGATCACACAATGACACAGTGCTTAAAACATGAGGCTCCACGAGGATATCCCCATACATGAAGGTTCTGGATTTTCACCTGGAGGGGAAATTTCCCACAGTATGCTATGAACTGGGGCTGGCTGCTGCTGGGGATGGATGGTGGCATCAGAACCCTCCTGAGGTTGCTGTCTCTCTTGCTCATGTAGGAAATAAGTTAAAGTCTCAAACATGGGTTAGAAACAATTGCTCTGACTCTACTAAATATGTGTACTCTTTGACTTAGCAAGAAAATAAAGAGATGTCATCCTAAGTAGATGGGGAAAAAATTCCAAATGCTTCATCCTACTTTAACAAAATGACTTCTCCTAGACTATCAAACTCACATGCAAATGGATTATGCTTTTAACAAGTGCCAGAAGATAATTTCCACTTTGGTGTAGCAGTTACTTAGCTGGACTCCCACACTACTGACCATGGTTCGAGTCCCAGACCCAGAGGCTTGAAAATCACACCAGGGTGTGTGTGCGTGTGTGTGTGCTTTAGATCCTGGGAGGAGAAAGGACTGAGGCATGGCCAAGCCTCCTGGAGAAGGGGGGGTAATTTCTCACTTTCCATCTCACTGTCTCTCTCTCTAGTAAGTGCACATGCCCTAAGGTAAAAAGTTTGCTTGTTTTTAAGAAAAGGGAGAATCAGAAAGTGGCATGGTGATTAAGGCACTGGACACTCTCACATGGCTGACCACAGACCGAGTCCTGGACCTGGTGGTCTCCTTTCTTACTTCCCCCCTCTCTGGTCAAATTAATATAAAATTAAAAAAAACAACAACAAATGAACACCATTTAATAAAAATTAAGTCCCACTAGTTTAATAAAAACAGAAACCTCACACTAGAGCTTCTTTCATTGATCGCAAATAATTACCAAAAACAATTACTAAAAGACCATTATTCTCCTATCTCTGGTTGTTGTTTGTTAGCATCATTATAAGAACAAGAGGTTGGGGCCAACAGGTGGTTTAATAGTTAAGGCACTGGACTCCCATATGCTGACTGCTATCCAGCCCTGGACCTGTTGGCATGAAACTCATGGCAGGCGTGTGTGCGTGTGTGCCCAAAACCTAGAAGGAATATAGAGGAGAAGGGATTACAGCAAACCTGGAGGATGGTTTCTCACTTTCCCTCTCACTGTCTTTCTGTGGAAAGTACACGTACCATATGGCGCAAAAAAAAAAAAAAAATCAGAGAGAGAGAGACTGGGGAACTGGCAGGTGATGTGGTGGTTAAAGATGTTGGACTCCCACATGGCTGACCACGGTTCAAGTCTCAGACCTGGGAGCTTAACTTCTTTCTCTCTCTCCGTTTTTTTTGGTCAAATTAAATCTAATAAAGTTAAGTAAGATAATTCTTTAAAAAAAATAAAGGTGGACAGACAATTCACTTGGCTGTTAGGTTTAATAAAATTTGGTGGAAATAAAAAAAAAAAAAAAACTAAATGGAACTGAAGATGATCTTTCAACTACCTTACTATATATGCCACCTATCCTATCCAAGTTATTGGTCAGAATACACAAAGTTTAGAAATACCTTTTAACAAACTGATTACATAACTCTTAATACAATTAAGATCCCAGTAGAAAAAGAAAATATCCTAGGTATTATATGCCTAGAACAATACCTAAAGAACTATACAAAAGTATGTCAAAATGTTCATGGAAATATGAAATAAAAGTATGAGTTTACTTTGGTGCAAAAAAATTTATTTTTTCATAATATGCATTTTCTATGAACTTTCTGAAGGCCCTTCATACATATATATAGGAGCTGTCTCAAACAGTTTGCAATATGACCAGTGAAAGAAATATGGTCTACCTAAATAATTTAAAAGAGCATGATAGGCTGTTTCTAATAAAAAGATGTGAATTATTCCAAAACAGTCTGCAGTAAGAATACAAAATGGTCCATAACTCAAGATAACTTGGTATCCCCTTATTTAAATTACCTACAGAATTCTAAGCAGTTCCCTCACACCTTTGCCTTCTTGTGCACTTACTACTCGTTTATCTCTGTATCGTGCTTCATGTGGTACAGGATGATGTCCTGAGTAAGGGGGATGAGCTTGAGGAGGTGGCGCATGGTGCTGATAATAAGGATGGTGTGGAGGCTGTTCCATTCCTGGGTAAGGGGGCTAAAAAAGGAAACCACTTCCATAAGAATCTACCAAAAATTCTTACAAACAAAACATTCATAGAATACCCCTATCCAAATCACCAACCTAAACAGATCATTTAATCTATTCTGATGGCATCAAATTTCTTCAAAACACCCTTTTTATATGCTAAAAATATATATAACTATACAATTACACATTTCTAAGATTTAGCATGTTTATACTTTTCTACTCAAGTCATTTAAAAAGCAATAGAAATAGCAAACTCAAGTGCTTACTGTGAGCCAGGAACTAACCTAAGTCCTTTACTCATTTCATTTCTTATAGTAACACTGCAGTACCTAAATAGTGCTATGTAAAGCGGTGGAGAAGGGATACAACTTCTATAACTCAGCATCTTGGTTCTAGAACTAATGATCAAGTTAATCACTATGTACAATCTATTCCTTAAAAATAAAAAGTCCAGTTGTTGATGAACTTTTAAATATTATAAAATAAAGGGCAAATCAAAGATTACCATCACAGTGCCAAGATTGTATTTTTTTTTTTTTTAAGTTTAACTATAGGGTACGTGCATTCGCTGGGGAGGAGGTAAGAAATCACCCCCCCATGGGGGATGGCCATGCCACAATCCCTTGTCCTCCATTCCCCTCTTGGGATTTTGGGCACATACACCCAGTTTGACTGTCAAGTCACCAGGTGCCAGACTTGAACTGAAACCATCAGCCACATAGGACCCAGCCACCTTAACCTGTACACCATCTGCTGGCCCAATATTTCAATTTTTAAAATTTCACAGAATCTAAAGGAAAGAAATCTCCTAATCTGACTCTCTGTATATAGCAGTCTAAAACTGTATACCGTAAGTAAAGTCAGATAAAGAAGCCACATAAAAGACATTTAAAATAAAACAAGGTAAGGGACCAGAAGTTAGCATAATGGCTATGTCGCTGGACTCCCATGTAGTTGACTGCAGTTCAAGTCCCGGACCCGGTGGTTTAAACTCACGCTGGGTGCGTGTGCATGCATGCCCCAGATTCAAAGTGCAGAATGGAGAAGGGATTGTGGCATGGCCATCCCCCCTGGGGAGGTGATTTCTCACTTTTTGTCTCTGTCTTTCTGGCAAGCACACGCGTCCTATAGTAAAAAACTTCTCCAAAAAAAAGAAAAAAAAAAGCTAAACTTCCGATTTTTTTTGAAGTTAATGTTTTGGTAATCCTCAATATATTAAAATATGTTATAACAATATCCAGTTTTCTTAAAGATAGGAAAATAAAAATTAGAAAAAGGGTATAATCTTATTTTATATAGAGAACTAAGTTTACTAAGCGTTAGGCCAGGCTCTATGCTAAGCTTTACATGTATTTTGTAAGTTTATTTTCCTAACAATTCTATGGGACTAACATTAATACATTAAATTTTAAGCTCTGCAAGGACAGGCATAATGTCCATTTCATTCATCACTGTATACCCAGAGTGTATCTGATGGTCCAAAGAATGAACAAATACTCCCACTGAATTTTACAAATGGGGGAAAACTAAGGGATTATTATGAAATTTGCCCAAGGTCATAAAGTTGGGAAGAGAATGAATGTATCTGATCCCAGCAAAGCTTTCACTATTAACTATCACCATAATCCACTATATTTCTCAAATAAACCTATACCATTAACACAACTTATTCATTAGTCTATAGTTTTAGCAATATCAAGCAACTATCATCAAAAATTTATATTTTAAGACTCTTAATGGATAACTGTAATAATCACAGTAGACCTTTCATCTGTGATTTCACTTTCTCAGGTTTAACTGTGGTCAAACATAGCCCTAAAATAAGTGAACACAGAATAGTAATATATTTTCAAAAAGGAAGACCATATTTTTCTAACTTTTATCACAGTATACTATTGTAAGTATTCTACTAGACTGTCGGGCAAGTCATGGCATGTTTTTTTAATGCAAAACTGCATCAAGATTTCCCTGACCTGATACTTTATTATTTATTGGCATCAACCTCTTACTACGCCTACTGTGTAAATTAAGCCGTACCATGTAGTATTTGTATAGGAAGACCTATAATTTCACACATCCACTGAAAGTCTTGGAACAGACAGAGGTGGGATACCTACTGTATTGTGAGTTAAGCATCCAAAATATTACAACAACACATCAAATTCAGTAACTTGAAAAAATTAGGTAATACACACCATTCCTTGCCAAGGTGGTGGTGGTCCCATGTTATGAAATTCCCTCACATAATCATTGTAGGACTAAAATGAAAGATGATAATGTCAATAATAAATAAAAATCCTTCTGGAATTACAAAATAAATCACACCTTGATTTTGTCTACATTATATATTTAAAAAGAAACGCTTACCCCATTTAAAAACACATCTCGGCGAACTCCTGAAAATCGTCTGTTGGGAATAAGATTTGTGAAACTAAATTCAGGTAATTCATAAACTAGTTCCAAGAATGTAATTTAAATCTAAACAAGAGTGAACCCAACTTACCTGTCTACTTCCTGGTATCGTGGGTCCTTTAAATACCCTGTTCAAACATCAAGCATTTTAGTAAATCAAATTTATATTTTTTTATTATGACATTATTATTAAACCTTCCATACAACTTGTTTCCATTCTTTTCAGGAAATATGTACTTGAAGTGATGCTATTATTGTATTTAATTTGATTTTCAAATTTTCTTCTCAAATTACAAGATAATCTAGGAAGCAACTAAATAACTTGATCATATCGCAGCATTGTAAGTTGCTAGAGAGACTTTCATGTTTCTAAGTTCATGGTCCATACCTTGCTAGATAGAAGATTCCTTCATTCTGCACCCATAATAGCGAAGGTAAGGGCAGAGAACTACCTTGAGGACACTGTAACAGGACTTCCTTAAAATACATTTACTTCTCCTTGGATATAAACAGTACTTGCTAAATAAACCACGGTAAGCTTTAAAAATTGAACGTAAGGGACCGGCAGATGGTGTAGTGGTTACATCACTGGACTCCCACATGGCTGACTGGGGTTCAAGTCCCAGATATATTGGCTTGAAAACCATGCAAAGTACATGTGCATATGTGCCCAAGATCCCAGGAGGAAAATGGAGAAAGGCTTGTGGTGTGGCCATCCCCTCTGGGGGATGATTTCTCATTTTCTCTCTCACTGTCTCTCTTTCTCTCAGGAGAGTGAACACACTCCAAGGCCAAAATCTCTAAAAAAAAAAAAAAAAAAAAAAAAAAAAAAAAAAACCTTAAATGGGAGGGAAAGGGGCCAGCAGATGATGTGATGGTTAAGGGCGCTGGACTCCCACACAGCCAACCATGGTTGGAGTCCAAGATCTGGCTTTCTCACTCCCCGCCCCCCACCAACTGTGTCCCTCTCTGGTCAAATTGAAAATAAATAAATAAGTCCAAATAAAATAATTCTTTAAAAAGAAGGAAAAAAAAAAAAAAACTGGAGGGAAACAAAACTGCAAAAGTTGCAAAAATGAAGATGTTTACACTTAAAATGAAAGAACAATGGGAGTAAGAGAAATATTTTTCCCCAGCTTCTTTCAGTAAGAACCTGGCAAATTAAAATGTAAAGTCCTTTGGGCCAGCATGGTAGTTATAGAAACTGGATCCCACATGGCTGACTGTACAGTCTGAGTCTCGAACTAGGCAGCTTGAAAAACATGCTGAGCACGTCTATGCGAGCTCAAAATCCCAAGAGGAGAACAAACTAGAGGGATTGTGGCATGGCCATTCCCCCGGGGGTGGGGGTGGGGATGGGGTGGGAGGTGGGCTTCCCCATTTTACCTCTCTCTCTTTAGTGTGTACTTGAACCCTACAGAAACAAGGGAGGGCGGGGGTTATGTCCTTTGACATGTTACTAGGAAAAAAAATCTATTTTTACTATTTGCAACCCCTTTGGAAAACAATGAGGCTTTATCAAGCCACCTGTTACATAATGTTATAATGTCACCAACACCGACTTCAAAACTGCCAAAGTTTTTTAAGCGTTACCTATCATTGTGCTGTAAACATACGATATCCTTTTTTTGAATATACCTTGCCTTTTAAAACTTCTCGTAAGGGATAAGTGAATGGAAAAGCTGCATTTAGATTACAAAACAATTATTTCCCATTACCCTCCAAAACCATAGATTTATATTTAAAAAAAATAATAAAATGTGTTAATTTCAATTTCCAATATGACATGCCACATGAAACGCTACACTAAGTATCATAGGGAATAAAAAGCATAATCAAATACAGGATCATTGCTTCCCCTTAACTACCTTTAGTCTTAAACACATGTTCAGGTAAGTTTTCATTTTTGCAAACTTAGCAATTTCAAGCAATTAATAATTACCAGTGGTCACACTAGAAACTATCAGACAACTTTAATAAAGGAATTACTAATGAGAACTATTACTGATTTCCCCAGGTTTAAGTAGTCATGTCCTAATTTTTTCACACTTAAAACTATAGGATTATAATAAGTTTTTTGTTTTATTTTAATAATTTTAAGTCAAATATCTGCAGGATTATAAAATATTAACCTGGTCTCTGGTGAAACTCAGGGGGATAGTCAATCCTTGGTTTCTTTCTGCTGTTATGAATATCATAATCTTCTGGTCGACGCCTACACAAATTAGACACATTAGAAATTAAACCAAAAACTGCTGGGAGAACAAAGAGTAAAACAAGAGTTGTTGACAGAGAAAAGTAGAAAAGAATAGCCCACTATTTCCTGTAAGATCATAACTTCTGTTCAGCAAATTAACTTTAAAATTCCTAAATTTTAATTCCTCAAATTAATTCCTATAACCAAACCTTAAATGTATTGTTGAAAGTAGATATTCTCTGCAATCTCATGCTATGATGAGACAACTGGAAAAAGTAATCTGATCAAAACATGTAAAGCACAGTTTAGTAGTATAAACAAAGAAAACAGGTCATCTTCAAATTAATGTAAATATCCAATTTAACAATTAAACTTTCTCAAATAGTCTCCATTCAGTTAAAAAGGGAATATAACCCTACCATCATTATACATTAGATAACTCTAAAACCTACATATTTAAATTCACTAATGTCATTTTAGGTTATGTCTAAACAAAATTAAGGATTTAAATACTTCTACTGTTTTGCACAAAATTATACTTTTAACATAATCATACAGAAAATTTTATACTTATTAAAGGCAATTTTACAGGAACATTTTAAAAATCCTAATACTCTGAGAAACTAATTTCTGATTATTTCTTAATGACACTTAGTTATTCTTTCTATACTTAACATTTAGGAATTAAGGGCATTTTTCCCATAGACAATGCCTTAAAATAAAAGTTGTCATGTATAAATCAGCAAGTAATGGGTCAGTTTTAACAGAGTTCATAAAACTAGTTCAAATTCTACTTTTTAAGAGGTGAAATTTTACTGTCGCAGAGGGCTGTTCTTTACTGTCTTCCATAATCCTGACAGTTAACATAACACATCATTAAGTACACTTCAATTTACTTTGCTTTTAATGAAAGGCTAAATAAACTAAAAACAAAAATCCAAAATACTTAGAAAATAAATGTATCTTTTCACTCTTTATGCCAAAGAAAAACTTTATAAAAACTGGATAATAGTTTTTCAACTATTTCTCTGATATCAACTGCTTTCATTAACTTTAGCAACACATAAGTTCGCTCAAACTTCAAATTGCAATAACCCCAAGCCCCACCCCCAACAGAATAAAAACAATTGCATCTACAATAAGTAACACTAAGAAAATTAAAAGCTGGTTTAAAAAATAAACATACCGCTTTCTTGTAGTTTGGGGAGTGCATTTACGACCGGTATAAAACATGATAGTAACAGTTCATATAGTAGTCCAACTACTGACTTTAAGCTGTAAGCCACATACATAAATGGAGGCCCTGGCAGGCTTGAGAGAAGGTGTAGTTGTGTAATAGGTATAGTTTGCAGTCCATTGCAAAACTGAGGTAAAAACTTCACTTGTATATACTGTATTGCACAGGAAACCTGTTAGCTTAAAACTTCAAAAGACATCTTGGTGCTCAGTCCTTTTAGGCCAAAAATAAGGGGCTCTGCCAGGTTTCCTCCTACCTACTCGACAGTGTCCTTTAAGCTCAAAGAAATGGGGACTCTTGTTGTATTATCTGTACCTACCACAGGATGTTTCCAACAAAAGGAAACTTAACCAAAGGTTTCATCCCATCAACCACATCCAAGTCTTTAGCAGAATATTTTAGATTTAGCCGTATGCATATCTATACAGGGAAAGATGTTGGGTAGAAGGGCTTAAATCAGTCCTTTGCCAAGACTTCTCCAATTCAATTCTGTAACAAGTTAAACCCCCTTTTCCTGGAAAATGCTGTTTAGTTCATAAAGTAGTGATCAATAACCATGGCGATCCTCTAAAAAACACTTTAAGTCCACAGGTACTGCCAGCATCTGGAAAAGTTGTAAACAGACACAGCAACAGCCCTTCTTTTTGGTTTGTTGCCGGGTCTCCCAGGGCCACTTGATCCCCTTTGGAAAGAACCTATTGTTTTCAGAAGCTCAGGAAGATGTGTGAATTCAGTGGGTACATGTTAGAGAATATTTGGCAATGGGGTTAACACATCACGGTGATAAAATCTGAAAGAGTCCCAATAATGCTCCTCTTGAATATCAAAATAACTTAAAATATTTTATCCTCTAAATGAGGCGTCATCTTCTGAAAAATTAATAGTGATCCTTTATAAAAGTCCCATATCTGTTAAGGCTTATCCAGAGACACACCTGAAAGAAAAGGCTTTTTACAAAATATTAACAATTTTGCAAATAAAGACTTTCTCCTCTTCCTTCTTTCTAAGCCTGCTCTTAGCAACAAATGCCTACACCTCATTTCAATTGTATACATTGTAATATCAGAAGTATTATCTAAACTGGTTATCACTCTTTAGCAAATAACTTTTTCTGCAAAAGGAAAGATCCCCATTTTCCTCTTGAAAAATGACTGAGACCAAGGTGACCATGTGAAATCCTCAATGAAGCCACAAACTAGTCCATGCAGCTTGATTTGAGGATTTTCTCTTTCTTCTTTACCGCAGGACAAACTTTTGATGAATCACATTCCTCCATCATGTTATTCTGATACATGTGCCTATTATCAGTCCAAAGAACGTTTCTAACCTTCCCACATCCCGGACTGGTTCTCGACGGGATGGACGTCCTCTTGATCTGGGCTGAGAATGCATTCTTCTCTTGTGACGCATTTTATGAATGACCTGATACAAGTCAATACTTTCATCAGGGGGAAATAGAAGACAAAGCTGGGTTCCACATTCAAGTTCAATTTCCTAGAATAGGAAAGTAGCAATTTACAAGACAAAAACAGGAGAACCTTTCAACAGACTTGTATTTTCCTGATGTACAAGAACAAAACAGATTTGGAGGCTTCTTTCCCAAGGATGACGATCATATGGGATTCCAATAAGCTTCCAGATTTATAAAACCTTTTCAAAATAATGAGGAAAAAAACTAAAAGTGTAGAATCTCCCAAGTTAAATACACAAATGCAACTGCTTAAAACTCTGATAACCACTCTCTAAAAATAAAGAAATAGTTCTTTGTGCAAAATACAAAATCATCCATCTTAATACAGTGAAGGAAAAATACAAGTTAGTCTGTACGCTAACAACTTTGATAACTATAAACTGCTAAATGCACTGGAATACATTAAATTAACTACAAAGATAGACTAACCTCAGGGCTTTTGAAAATTAAATCTTATTTTCAGTTACCAACATGAGCAATGAAACCATAGTATCATTTCTGGTTCAGAATTGTGTGAGAAAGTGAGAACTATGAGAGTCAAGTTCCCTCACAGGAAGGTTTCAGGTTTATTTTAGACATTATACACTTTCAATATCACTTACAAACTTTAAAACCTACATGTATACATGCATAATCTTTTCAGGAGGCTTCTTTCTATTCAAAAAATTCAGCAAAGGTGATAAATGGCAATTCTAAAGTGTATTACACGAAGTACAGAATCTGTTTTAACAGTACTAGCACAATAAAAAAAATTCAGAACTTTTCAATTATAGTAATGAAAATACCACATAAAGTGATCAAATTCAACATTAACGGAGGTCTTTTTAATCAGTGATCATGAGCTCCAAGTAAGAATATTTTCCTTAAACTCTCATAAAATTGTTTCCGAAAGGGTTAAATGTCCTCCAGTGAAAATCTCTGAAAGGGCTAACTAAATATACGTGTTCTTTAAGAATCAATTAAAATGACAAACCTGTCCATCACGTCCAATCTTTACTGGCTTATGTTCATTCCAAGGATTGGTGAGATGAGCCGACTTAGTGAAAGGTAATTCACGCCTAAATATAAAGTAGTACCAATTATATTCTTTTGCAGAATCCTTTAAGACCCTTATACTATCGCAGTAGTGAATCCCTATGTTAACTGGAATTTAAATGTAATTAAAACTTTAAAAATCACACTGGTGGTGGGAACCAGCAGTTAGCGTAATGGCTATGTCGCTGGACTCCCACGTAGTCGACCGCGGTTCGTGTCCCGGACCCGGTGGCTTAAAACTCAGGCCGGGCGCGTGTGCGTGCGTGCCCAAGATCCCGAGAGGAGAATGGAGGAGAAGGGATTGCGGCGTGACCATCCCCCCTGGGGGGTGATTTCTCGCTTTCTGTCTCTATGTCTCTCTCTGTCTGTCTGGCGAGCGCACGCGCCCTACAGTGAAAAATCTCTCCAAAAAAAAAAAAAAATCACACTGGTGGGGCCTGCAGTTGGTGAGGTAGGTAAGGCGCTGGACTCCCATATGGCGGATCACAGTTCAAATCCCAAACCTGGCGGCTTGCTTTCTCAATTTACCAAACAAAAAGATTCACTTTGTTGGCTAGAAAGTATAAGCACTTTACAGGGAGAGACAGAGAGCAGTGGGAATAAGAAAAAGCATCCCCCATGGGGAATGGTCAAGCTATAATCCCTTCTTCATTTTGTAGGGATTCTGAGCATCAAAGTACACATGTCCAGCCTACTTCTCAAGTAGCCAGGTGGAGAACTCAAACCATGAGGTCAGCCATGTGGGACCCAACTGCCTCAACCACCAGGCTCACAGACCTGACCCTTGTTTTGTTTTAAATGGGGGTAGATCATGTCTATTTTGAGAGAAAGAAAAGTCTTCATGAAAGAAATGGCATATGAGATAAGAAAAAATGGACTCAGGTAAAGCACTTATAGAAGTAAAGCTGGATTTGAAGCAGAGGGGCTTGAGCAAAGGCATTAAAGGGAAAGGAAAAAACACAGAACTTGTTCCAACATGTAAGCTACATAACAAGTTATTCTAACTTTCATGAATTTTTTTTTAATCTCAGAAAAACTTTAACGTTTATAAGACAGAAAAATATAGTAAGAGTTAAAGTGGCATGCTCTGAAGTGTTGGTAATAATGCACCTATGTGGGGAGAAGTGTGATGGAAATGCCTATCAGGTATTGCTAAAAAAAGAGTGTGGTTTCTTTTTTTGTGTTTGAAATTTTTTGTTTATTCATAAAAGCACTCATGTGTGTGCTATGAGAGTTAGAGAGAGAGAAAAGCACCCTCCACAGGATCGGGTTGTATTGTGATCCCCTTTTTTCACTCCTCCCACCTGCTGGATCTTGGGCATTCAGACATGTTCCCAGCATGTTTCAGGCTGATTAAGCCAGAGATTCAAACTGCAATAGCCATGTGGGATTGCAGCTTCTCTTTAGTGTGAATTTCTGTTGCACTCTAGAGCAGACTCCAGTTTTGTTTTGTATTATTTTTTTTAATTTAATTTTGATTATTCTTTCTTTTTGTTAAAAGAATTATTGATTTAATTTTTATTTATTCATTCACTTATTTTAATTTGACCAGAGAAAAACACACACGGCGGGGGGAGTGAGAAAGCAAGCCACCAGGTCTTGGACTCGAACCATAGTCAGCAGCACCTTAAACACCACACCATCTGTTAGTCCTATTTTTCATTTCTTAATTTGACCAAACATACACATACACACACACAAAGCAAGCCACCAGGCCCGCAATTCAAACCACAGTCAGCCATGTGAGAATCAACACTCTAACCACCACGTGACCTGCCAGCACCAGTCCCAGTTTCTTATTCTAATATGTGTCTTATACTTCCTACATCAAGAGTAATACAAAAGTACTGTTTTATTTTCAGCCATGAAAGGTAGAAAGATCATTAAGCTGGAACAAGTCCACACAAAAAGCTTAGACTACATAGAACCAGAGTTCTAGTTAACATTTCTTTGTACTGTTTTAATATTGAGTTGACAGACAAGTCATGACACATTTTTATATAGAAAAACGTTAAGTCATGACTTGTCTGATAAGCCAATACTTCTTTTTTCCTTCTTCTAAATTGCCAATTTAACCAGTTATGGAAAAGGAATAAATGAAATCCTATAGCCAGCAAAAGGTAACAGATTATTGAAATACTGCAATTTAAGTATTAGTAATGGAATGCCCAATATCCAAAGTAAAGACATAGATGCATCACTTAGGAATGAGATTCTTTGGTGGTACTGGCTCCAATTAGATTTAAAAGCATCACTGGTTGAAGTAGTTAAGTAAATCTCAGCCAGGATATTCAGAGAACTTGTGTAGCTGCAGGCAAAAAAAACTGCTCAGAAAAGAGAAATTGCAGGGTCCAAGGTTCGTATATCAACTTTATCTACTCTGATTATTAGGATCACAATAACAGAATAGGCATCCTAACAGTTATCTTTTGGATAAATGTGTTATGAAGTCATCTATCTTTATAGCAAGAGACCTACAGAAAAAGGAAGGAATTCTCTGGCCTAAGTAGCTCCGCAAGAGGGGAAAATGTAATACAAGAACATAAAATTAGGCAAAGGCTCTTATGATTTGGTTATTGACATTGAAAAGAAATAATGGAAAAGCCCTGAAAGAAAAAGAAATAGATTACTTGGAATGAATATGAAGAGAGTATAAAATATAGTCAGTAACTTTAGCTCTGGATGGATGACATTTCATAGCTCACAGTCTTATTTTGAGCAAATTCCTGGTAACAACTTAAGTAAGTCACTTTTTGTACCTCCCTCTCATAAGTGCTATATCTTCTTATGTGATCTCAACCTTCCATGTACCTATACCTGAACCATCAAGGACTCAACAGCTTTGGGGTGGTTCTTAGATTTCTGCACTTTAACCATCAGATACTACTGGTTGAAAATAATCCACGGACTAAAACTAAAGAAACTTAATTCAGTTCATATTAAATCTGAAGGGTGTTTAAATATAAATCTAATGGCTATTAACATCTAAAAAGAAAACATATTATTAATAGTAACTGCTACTGATGGCAAAGTCTTTAGCAATTATACTTATTGAAGTTTAATTCTTTAAATTCTAATAGTCAAACTGAACTCTCATTTTATGCTCATTTTCTCAATTTAAGTTCAGTGTTCAAATAAATGACTTACCCAAGGAAATATCAATGTAATAAATATCATGCACCATCCAGAACTTTAAATACTGTAAAATCACTTCTGAACAGAATTTGTAAGTATTCAAAAATTAACATTATTTTTTATCTTTTAAAAATAGTATTTGCAGGTGGGCCTAAAACTTACTTTAAAACAATGAAAGCACTTCAGGCCAGATGCATGGCCCATGTCAGAAGTTAAAGCAGCCAGATTCCTACATGGCCAACCCCATGGTTACAGTCCCTGAATCGGTAGCTTGAGAAACATACCAGGTAAGTGTGCCTGTGTGCCAAAAATCCAAATAGGATGGAGAAGTGGAGAAAGAAATGCCAGTGTGACCATTATTATGGGGGTACTGCCTCTCTCTCTCTCTCTTTCTGGTGAGAGCATATACCCTGTGGCAAAGTTTGAAATTAAAAAAATATATATATTGGGAACCAGCAGTTAGCGTAATGGCTATGTCGCTGGACTCCCACGTAGTCGACTGCGGTTCGTGTCCCGGACCCGGTGGCTTAAAACTCACGCCGGGCGAGTGTGCGTGCGTGCCCAAGATCCCGAGAGGAGAATGGAGAAGGGATTGCAGCGTGACCATCCCCCCTGTGGGGTGATTTCTCGCTTTCTGTCTCTACGTCTCTCTCTGTCTGGCGAGCGCACGTGCCCTACAGTGAAAATCTCTCAAAAAAAAAAAATGTGTAAAAAAATATATATAAAAGTACTTTGCTCAAATTTTTATACCAGGTATTAGTAGAAGGTATTATCTGGATCTTCTGTTGCTATATATATTTCAGACAAGCTAGTGAAATAGTGAAGTCAATGAAGATGAGTATGATGACTAAATAATCTATGAATAAATAAACAAAACTCATGTGCTAAAAAATAAACAAATTTCCTTATCAACAATGTGAAAATGATGGTTAAGTGGATGAAAGTTCAAAACAAAATCTGCTGCAATATATCTAAAAATGGGTAATATTTGGGGAACAGCAGATGGAGTAATGGTTATGCCACCGGACTCCCACACAGTCAAACATGGTTCAAGTCCTAGACATGACAGGTTAAACTCACACTGGGCGTGTGTGCATGCATGCCCAAAATCTCCAGAGGAGAATAAAGGAGAAGAGATTGCTGCATGGCCCTCCCCCTGGGGGGTGATTTCTCACTTTCTTTCTCTCTGTGCCTCTCAGTTTCTCCAGCGAGTCCATGTACCCGATAGCAAAAATCTCTCTCTCTCTTTTTTTTTTTTTGGAGAGGTTTTTGCTATAGGGCGCGTGCGCTCACCAGACAGAGAAAGAGAGACAGAGACAGAAAGAGAGAAATCATCCCCCAGGAGGGATGGCCACGCTGCAATCCCTTCTCCTCCATTCTCCTCTTGGGATCTTGGGCACGCACGCACATGTGCCCGGCGTGAGTTTAAGCCACCGGGTCCGGGACACGAACCTCAGTCAACCACATGGGAGTCCAGCGACATAGCCATTACACTAACTGTTGGTCACTTTTTTTCGGAACATCTTTTTTTTTTTTAAATAAAAGGGTAATATTTGTCATCATTTCCAAATATTTTCCAATGATAACAATGTTTCTTTTGGCTTTGGATCAATCACACATAAATGAAATAAAAATTGATAATAAAAAAAATTTTTTGCTGTAGGAAAAAAGCCATACTGTTACCCTACAAATTGTTATCATAGTTCAAAATTTAGTTCTAATATAATTATAAATCCTAATTTCTAACAAACTATAAATTTTTATTTAAAAACCTGGGGGTCAATATAGGCAGGGAGATACCACTGACGGTCTTGCCACCACACTACTTTATTCCAATATTCATGTTTTTATTTGTTATCTGTATGTTGCTATGCAGACAATTATGTTTGCATTGTTGTATTTAAAAGAAGCAAGGCTTCACTTAACTGATTTTCTATTTGGGAGAATTTAGATGGCCCTCAATTTTTCTGTATAGAAGGTAGTGATGGGATGTGTATTTTCTACTGCAAATAGCTTTTTGCTATTCTTTTAACAATTAACCTAATTCAGTATTTTCACACTATCACTCACTCATTTATCTTCAATTCCTCACAACCCTACAGTAAAAGTTTAGGCCGGACTCCAGCATCTTAACCTCCATACCACCTGGTAATCTCTCAATTTCATTTTCCTAATAAATATAGTTAAATCTTAATTTGGTTTCAAAGGATCACAATTTCAACTCAACATCGTTTGCTAACTTCCTTAGAACACACTAATTGTTTACAAGTAAATTAACCCACCTCCAAAAATGTTAGGTGAATCAGAGAATTATTTCCCTAGTACACAGGAGCTAAATGACAGGTTATATCATACATATATGCTAGACAACATTTGAAACAATTGTCCAGTTCATTTACTGTTAGATTACTAATACACAGCACAGATGAATTACATTAAACTCTTGACTAAATGAACCTCTGCCCTTTGCATCATATATTAAATTACTAAGGTAAGGGGAGAGCATATGATATTATTTTACTTTTAACTTGTTACACATTTAGATCTAGGAATGTGGTGACAAAGGAGTATAATCATTAGAGATACTAATAAACTAAACAATTAGAGTTTAAAACCCAATTGGCAACCCATTCAGAATAAGGGCAACTTTATCTAAATTAGAATGTATAATTTACCTGCATATCCAGTCAATTTTAAAGACACCTCCCAGCATTTTGGCACTCATTCCAAAGAAGCACCCAGTGTATAGGAGATCCTCCATGATGTGATTCTGAAGAAAGTCTTGCAAACCCTAAGAGAATCATATCACACATAACATGTAGGTGCTAATACAAATAATGCTTTTATATGTCCAAATTATTTTTATTCATACCTTGAAATTTTCCACTCTCTCTTACAGAAAATATTAAGATGACACTCCTTGCAGACCTGAATGCAAGATTTAATTTCTTCTCATTCACAGGCAGTGTTGACCAAACACCCTATATAAATAATAATAATAACAACAAAATAAATTAACTGTCAATCTTTTGGGTATCTGGTAATACTAGCAAAATAACAAGTTTACTGATTTAGGTCTACTTTAAGTTTAAGTAAGCTATAATGAAGAAGGGTCTCTATCTGCTGTCAAAACAATGTAACAATTTATTAAAAACTCAAAAAAGATGAAGATGACTACCAACTTCACAAAATTAAAGCAACTAGAAAAAAACATGAAAGAAGTTCAAACCTATGGGCTAGAATTCTACATGAATCCCTGAGAATAGCTATTAGTAATTCATGAAATATTTTAACCAATTTTTCATTCACAAAAGACGAAATAAAGACTGAATAGAAGAAAGGCAGAAGCTCTCACTCAATTTACACCTATCTTCTCATACAAACTACCTCGTTCATTCACACTAAGTGCTTAATCACTTTTGCCTAAATCCAGTTCAGCTGAAGAACAAGATAAGATACCATAAGATAGGGTATCTGGTGTAGTATTTTTCCTTCTATTATAAAATTTTATGGGTAATTCTTGACTTAAATTAAACTATACATTAATAGAAATGATTTTAAAAACACCTGTTTAAATTTCTGAAAATTAGTCGTAAACGTACAGTTACTCAATTTAAATCAAGAATATAATAGCTTGTCTAATGTAGTTTTGTGACAAAAGCAAAAGAAAATGTGTATCTTACAACATCCTACAGCCACTATGCGTAATTTTTTTGTAAAATCTGGGGTGGTCTCTTAAGCTAACTTGTCCCTTGTAATATCTTTTACTACACAGTCTTCAACAATGAATATTCTGGCTCCTAAAATAGTCTCCAAAATATTTAAAAGAAAATCTTAATTACTACTCGGTACCTAATTGATCCAAGTAATCTTACTTCTTAAAAAACAACAACAACAACAACAACAACAAAAAAAAAAAAAAAACAGGAAAAAAAAAAAAAAAGAAATTTTCTATCTTTTCACAAGAATTAGGAGGTATAAAACAAGCTTCAATATAAAGCATAAATTAGGGACCAGTTCAATGGCCTACTTGTTAAGAAAGCCAGGTCCAATTCTGGGCCCTGGTGGCTTGAAAAACATGCTGGGCAGGTGTGGACATGCACCCCAAATCCTGACAGCATGGAGAAAGGGGAGAAGGGATAGTAGCATAATTAGGTTCAACTGGGGGATGCTTTCTGTCTCCTGTCTGTCTCTCTGACAAATGTATGCTCCCTCTGATAAATTTAAAAAAAAAAAGTTAACTAAAATAACGTTTAAATATTTGTACAATAAATTGCAAATGAATATATATATAAACACGCACACACAAATCAGCAGAAACAGATCTTTTACAGTACGTACAACTACATAGTCTTCAACAATGAATATTCCGGCTCCTAAAGTAGTCTCCAAAATATTTAAAAGAAAATCTTAATTACTACTCGGTATCTAATTAACCACAAACTAAATCCAAAGTGGCAAGTAGATCTTGCCACTTGAAAGAACTCAATTCTAATTTCTCATTTAAAAATTTCAAGATCAGGTTAGTTTCAGAAGAACTAATGACAATACCTTAGCTTTGGCAAGAGACACGTTTTCATGGTTGTTACTCTTTATGAGGAAAAATCTTGCATCCTGAAGAACATATCTGAGTTTACTGGTTTGATCTGAAAAAAAGAAATCCAAATTGATTAATCATAGACAATTACCACATAGAAGGGTGTAAACTATACTAACTGAAACTAGCCCTTTACAACCCAGCTAAACTTTAAAAATTCAATAATCCCATTCAACCTAAACCACAACATATAATAAAGCAAAGCTAAGAAAAGACAACCAGCATTCTGCAAGAAAATAAGCCTAATCTAGTGATGTTCCGATATATAAGATCCATACACATGTATAAATCTAAGAGTTTTTTTATAAACACTTTTACAAGACTCATTTGAAGACTGATAACAGACCATGATGCCATTAAAAATATCGGGGGGGGGGCCTTCAAAACATTTGTGAAAAACGCGTATCATTAAAAATTAGCATAAATTTCAAAATTTCTTGTACCAAAATAAGCTTATGCTTTAATTCAGTTTTTAAAAATCTGCTATAGAGCATATGTGTTTATTGAAAAAAGAGAGCCATCCCACCTCCCTCCTCCCTCCCCCCACGCCAGGGAGATGGCCAAGTCACAATATCTTCTCCTCCATTCTCCCTTCAGGATTTTGGGCACACTCATCGGTTGCTTTTCAAGCTGAAGAGTCTTGAATTTGAACCACATAGTCAGCCATGTGGGAATCCAGCTGTCTTAACCACAATATCACCTGACTGGGTCTCTGTTATCTTTTTGAAGTCCTTTCAATATACTACCGTATGCATTCAAAAATTAATTATTCCGTGGGTCTGATCGCAGCACAATGGTAAAACATGGAGGCAATTCCCCATGGGAGGTTCTTGTTTTAAGTCTGGAGACCTCACTGAGTACTCCAAGCACACACTCGCCAAATATTCTGGGCTGGCTGAGCCTGAAGGTAGATCACAGTGTCAAAACCCTGTTGGAGGTGCTATCTTTCTATGTCTCTCTTGCTAATGGGAGAAACTTAAAAAACAAAAACCGAACGCCTATCCTGAAATAGTGCTTGGTATTGTTGTCAAAGATACACTAAGAAGTGGATGTGGAGCTTCCTATGTAAAACTTTATTATTAATTTTTTTTCGAATATATCGGAACATTACTACATTAAAACCAACTATTAATGGAGAACTAATAAGGCAAAATAATGACTTTATGCAGCATGCAATGAAAACAATTTCAAATTTAAATGATACCTTTTCGGACAGCACGAACGGAAGATGATAATTTCTCATGCTTCTTTTCTGAACCTGTATTTAGCCAAAGTACATTTGTTCAGATTGAGCTTTAATAGAGATAATACAAAATTTCTACAGTCTTGTCACATAAAATTCTCATTCAAGACAAATTATTCTTCCTGGCGCACCCACACACACAAAAAAAATACTTCTCAATGTGTACGAGTGTTTTGTTTTTTGGGTTGTTTGGATTTTTTTTTTAAATATATTTGAACAGTTTCCCACTCAGAAAACTAGTCACTGAATCATCATCTTCCAAGAAAAAAAAGTGAAAATTTCACTTAAGCAGTAACAGAACAGGATTAAAATAAGAAAAAGCTTAGTTTCTTCTAGAATTATTACACTGAACATGCCAAAAATCAGTACTAATGGACATCAACAAGTTCACACTAAACTATAGCTGTTGCACACTTTCTAAAGCAGATTACATTAGAATCAGTCAGATATGACCCAAAACAAAGGTAAAATGTGAATACCTGCATATGACTCTGATGCAGAGCTTCCACTTCTATCAAAAACAATTGGAGATATGCCTCTAGCTCTTTTCCTTTCCTTCTTTTTTTCATCTAAAAAGAACCCAAACAACAATTTTTAAAATATCACATACAGAAACTAACACAGGTAATCAAACTAGGCACACTATTATGGGTCTTGTTTTTGCATGGCCTTAGGTATTAAGTCATTGCTTATTGCCTTCCTGATCTTCCAATTTCCTTAGAAAAAGGTGTTTCCATTTTAAAGACACATTTCAAAATCTAAGGGCATTTTTGTTTCGTTCGATCATTTTAAACAAACACACAGATTTAACTAAGATAATTAATTTCTATATATATAAAGGTAACCTTGAATAAAATATTCCAAGAGGGGGAAAATCTGCAAAACAAACAATAAGTTTCATTTGTTAAAATTTAGTGTCTGTTTTAACCATACGATTCCTCATCACAATTCCAACTGATTCTGTCTTCAGATGTTTGCTGAATTCCATAACCAAAAGCTTTTCAACTAGAAAATAAAAAACACCACCATAATAAATAAGTGATTCTCTTCTGGTTGCAACTGCTTGCTTTTTTAATCTTCCATTCCATTCTTAAGCATTTCCTCCCTGGATTACTATTCGTATTCTCAAATTCAATTTAAAATTTATCCCGGGATCAGTAGTTGACGTAATGGCTATGTCGCTGGACTCCCATGTACCTGACTATGGTTCGAATCCTGGACCTCGTGGCTTAAACTCACGCCAGGCACGTGTGCGTGCATGCCCAAGATCCCGAGAGGAGAACGGAAGAGAAGGGATTGCGGCGTGGTCATCCCCCCGGGGGGTGATTTCTCACTTTCTTTCTCTCTCTTTCTGGTGAGCGAGCGAGCGCACGTGCCCTATAGCAAAAACCTCTCCAAAAACAAACAAACAAACAAAATTTATCCCTAAAATTTTAATGACAGCCTATGTATTTCAGTAAGAAAGCTGGAAATCTTCAGTGGACAGAAGAGGTTTGAAATATCTGTTTTCTAAAAACTATTCCAAGCTAAACTAGAATTTTATAAGCTTATGTATGAGGATTTAAAATTAAATTACTGTTTATTGCTGTTTTAATCATACCAAAGAAAGTGTCTTTAGGGCCAGCAGGTAGTGTGAAGGTTAAAGCACTGAATCCCACATAGCCAGCTTCATGGTTTGAGACCCAGACCTACCACCCTGAAAATCATTAAGGGCGTATGTGCATACATGCCCAAAATCCCGAGAGGAGAGTGGACGAATACAAATTGCTGTGTGACAACCTCCCTGGCAGGTGATTTCTCACTTTACCTACCCTCGTCCCTTCGCCTTCTCTTAATCGCACATGTTTTATAGCAAAAAGTTAAAAAAAAAAAAAAGTGCCTTTACTCGCTGGCTAGAAATTAAAATGATAAAAAGAGAAAATAAATGCAAATGTTTATTTTTTGTCTGTTCTTGTTTTAAATTTTATTATTATTATTTTTTTTGCCAGATTGCATGTGCGCTAGCTGCTGTGGGGAAACAGTGAAAAACCACTTCCCATTGGATGGTCATGTAACAGCAATCCCTCCTCCTCCACCTTCCCCCTTTCGGAATTTTGGATGGGTGACACACTAACACGAGAACTGGATTGGAGACTCAAACTACGCTGTTGGCTATGTGGGATCTAACTGCCTTAACCTCTAGGATACACACTGGCAACCAAAAAAACATTTATTTTTATAAAAACAATAGAAAGGTGAAAAAGAATAATCAGTGATAATGTAAACCATACTACTGTATAGAAACAGCTAAGTACTTAAAAAGCTTTAAATAATCAATCTCAGGACAGGCAAGTGGTGTGGTAGTTAAGAGTGTTGAACTCCCACATGGCCAACCGTGGTTCAAGTCCTGGACCTGGAGGCTTGTTTTCTCTCTTTCTCTCTCGCTCTCTCTCACTCTCACTGTCCTCCTCTGATCAAATTAAAATAAATAAAGTTAAATACAATCATTCTTTTAAAATAAAGTCAATCTCCTCTAATCTTCACAACAAAACTCATGAGATACCCACAGATGAAGAAATCTCAGTTAAGAAGAGTGGTTAGGCAACTTGGGAAGAGTCCCACAGTTCCTGGGTTCCATGCTTACTAAGCAAGTAGAAAATATTATTTTACTAATATTGAAAGATTCTAACTAGTTTGGGGGCTTTTTTTCCACTTCTTTCAAAAGCTCTGACATGTTCCATTTAAGTTTTTCTTCCTTAGATAGGATAGGTCCTTTCAGAAGTTTAAAGATTATGAACTGATAAAACAGAGAATACCACATTTCCTGTTGCTTTTTAAAAAGAACATTACAGGGACCAGAAGATGGCATAATGGTTAGTCACTGGACTCCCATGTAGACAACTGTGGTTTGAGTCCCAGACCTGCGGCATGTGTGCGCGTGTATGCATGCCCAAAATCCTGAGAGGAGAATGTAGGAGAAGAGATCACAGCTTAGTCATCCTCCCAGGGTTGATTTCTAGCATTCTCTCTTCTCTCTGACAAGTGCACATATCCTACAGCAAAAATTTCTGAACACTATATAGCCTAAAGTATCAAAAAGATCTCTCACTGAAATACTGCAGGAAAAATAATATAAGCAGATTTTGTCCAACTGTTTCTTTTGTTTTTGTTTTTTAATTTTGCTGTAGGTCATGTGCATTGGTGAGAAAGATAAAACGAGAAAGAGGTAACAAAGCACACTCCCCCCAGGGGAATGGATAAACAAATGGGATTTGGAACATACATGCACATGTGCCCAGCATGTTTTTCAAGCCACCAGGTCCAAGACTCAAACTGAACAATTGGCTATATGGGATCCAGTTAGCTACATTAATCATTAAAGGTTTATAATGTTAAACCTTGCATTAATATGACAAATGTCAAAGTAATTTTCATCCTTTTCTTTTGGTATGAAAACTCCCACTGTTCTTAACCTTATGGTTCTCTCTCTCCAGCTATTACTCTGAAGTCAAAACATGAAAAGTCATCTAACAAAACTTTACCAACCAGCATATTGTTTTTATAAGAAAGTTACTGAAACTTGGGAACCAGCAGTTAGGGTAATGGCTATGTCGCTGGACTCCCACGTAGTCGACCGCTGTTCGCGTCCCGGACCCGGTGGCTTAAAACTCACGCCGGGCTCATGTGCGTGCGTGCCCAAGATCCCAAGAGGAAAATGGAGGAGAATGGATTGCGGCATGACCATCCCCCCTGGGGGGTGATTTCTCGCTTTCTGTCTCTCTGTCTCTCTCTCTCTGTCTGGCGAGCGCACGCGCCCTATAGCAAAAATCTCTCTCAAAAAAAAAAAAAGTTACTGAAACTTATAGAAAAAAAAAGGTAAAATAAACTGAAGTCTAGAAAAATTCGTGACAGAAACTAAGCTGAGATTCCTTGTATTTTAACAAATGGTATCTTATTAACGAGTTCCAACTCAATTGCATCCTTTCACACATTATAAAAGAAAACTACTTCATCAGAAAAATGTTTCACATACCACATGGATGTTTCATGTAAAAGATTTTCCAAGGAAAATCTGCCTATTTTGGTAAGAAAAATAAAGGTTCCAGGTATCTCTCTTTTTTTGGAGAGGTTTTTGTTATAGGGTGCATGAGCTTTCCAGAAATACAGAGACAGAAAGCGAGAAATCATCCCTCGGGGGGGGATGGCAACGCCACAATCCCTTCTCTTCTGTCCTCTCAGGATCTTGGGTACAAATGCACAAGCGCCCAGCGTGAGTTTAAGCCACCGGGTCTGGGACTTGAACTGCTGTCAACTACATAGGAGTCCAGTGACATAGCCATTACACTAACTGCTGCCAGGAACCTCTTTTAAAACAATAAATCTCTTCTATTAATACGTTTTTTTTTGTTGTTTTTTTTTTTAAAGAGAGACTTTTGTTATAGGGGGCATGTGTGCTCATCACAGAGAAAGTAAGAAATCACTCCCCAGAGAGATGGCCATGCTGCAATCGCTTTTCCTTCATTTTCCTCTTGGGATTTTGGGCACACATACATGCATCCAGCCTGAGTTTCAAACCCCACGGTCCAGGACTCAAACCATGATCAGTCCTGTGGGAGTCCAGCGCCAACAGAGGTTTTAAATCAAGATATATTACAAAACTATAAGCTACCATTCAATTTGACACATCTTTTCCACAAAAATAAAGTACCATCAAGTAACTTGCTGCAGTATAGGCATCATCTAAGAACCTGTTCAAAATGCAGATTGTTTCAAGCCCTATCCACTTAGACAATTTTCCCTTGTTTGACTTAATAAATCAAAGTTTAAGAAATATTGTTCTGGGGCCAGCAGGTGTTAAGGCACTGGACTCCCACATGGCCAACAGATAAAGTCCCAGATCCAGAAACCTGAAAATCACTCCAGACACATACGCACGCATACCCAAAATCCTGAGAGAACAGAGTAAAAGGGATTGCAGTATGCCCATCCCTTCTGGAGATTAATTTCTCACTTTCTCTTTGTCTCTAACTAGCACACACACAAAAAAAAAAAAAAACCTCTTATTTAAAAATAAATGTATATAGATATATCTATGTATATAGATATATCTATGTATATAGATATATAAAAGTGTGTGTGTGTATCTATATCTAACTATCTTGGGGCCAGCAGGTGGTATAGGTTAAGGTGTTGGACTCCCATATAGCTGTCTACGGTTAAAGTCTGGGAAGGGCAGCTTGAAAATCACTACAGGTGCGTGCACGTGCATACCCAAAATCTCGAGAGGAGAATGGAGGAAAACTGCAGTATGGCCACAACCTGGGGGGAGTTTCCTCACTTTCCCTCTCTGTACTTCTCTCTGCGAGTAAACATGCCCTATGGCAAAAAAGAAATATTCTCCTTAATATACACACAAAAAGTTTTTCTATAACAAAATATTCCCTACCTTTATGCATGATTTCATACTCTCCATAATAAATGAATATTCATGCATATTTGTTCCCTTACCATTATAACATATATCCCATTAGTTCACAAAAAGCATCACAAGAACACAGATTTCCACAAGTTTTTACATCAAACCCAACTTCTCAGCTACTCATTATAACCCTTCAGGACCCTTCAAAATGCTATCTAAACTTGCAAGCTATATACTGGGTTGTCAGAAAAGTCATGATACATTTTTGCATAGAAAAACAGAAAAAAGTCATGAATTTTCCGACAACCCAACAGAACTCTAATGAAGAGGTTGAAAGCATTTCTGTAGCCAATCACTAGAAACAGCTGACCATAGCTCTATCATCTCTACTTTATCAGGAATGTGATGTACCAAAAATGTACTAGTAAGCGGTGAATTTCTGTAATAATAAAACTGCAAATAAATTATTCTGCTTCTACAGCAGATCTGGTAGCATTTTTATATAAGACAACCATGAGGCTGTAATCATCCTATCATGGTAGGAGTCTGTGAGTACCCTGACCTTTTCCTTGCTATACCACCTGAATTTTTCCCCAGAAAGGACCCCTCCACCCTTATAACTACAACTACCTACTACTTCTACATTTTTGACTCATGGATCAGATAAGGATAAAGGAGTACCACTGAAGAAATGACTCGAGATGGCTCTTACCCACCTTCCCACAAGAATCCTTACACTCTT